AAAACGTAAATAGGGACGTACCCGAGCGAAGCGAGGGTGAGCCGGTATTAAAATATATAATTGTAATGATAAAGGAAAATGTTTTTATCACTATTGCATTTTCTTTTTAAAGCTTCATAGGAGTAAGGTGCTGATAAAAAAAGCGTCAAAGTTGATTTGGTTAAAGTGTAATCTTTAAAGACTGTAAATTAATATTTAAAAAAATATATTTTTATACACAAGTTTTTATCCGTACTAATCCATACTAATATTATAAATGTGAAAGTAACTCTGTTTGTTTGTTATCTTTTACGACTAAACGGCTAAAGCGATCTAGATGAAAATTGGTATGGAGATAGTTTGAGATCCTGGGAAGGACATAGACGTTTAAATTGTAGCGTGACTCGAAATTTTGTATTTTGTGCGCTTTCATTACAACACCATGATCGAGAGTGGTTCTCCCGGACCACCCGCCGCCCAGAGCGTGGAAGGATATGAAAGGGGTGACACTCGATTTCTCCTCTATTAAAACGCGTAACTAAAGTACGAACAATTATGCTAAATACTGCAATGTACATTTTGGGACAGAAAGCTGATTGATTCTGTTATTGCGATGAGATTAGAATTACTGAGGGAATATATTGATGATATCAACGTTTCGCGGTTTTTGCATGATGTACGTATGTATACTAGGACTCAGGAGCCTATGTATATACATAATATTAATATGTATATGCGTGGGTGACTATACCTATACAAATCGTGGACTTAAGTTTCTAATAAAAAGTAGTTCGTTAGCTTTTAAATTGCGTAACTGAAAAGCTATATATTTTTGTACTTGCTAAGGGACTCTTTAGTACTTGATATAAAGTCCAACTTCTTATTTCCCAAGAAATGTTTCTTAATAGGTAGAATGGGGAAAGTTGAGAGCATGACAAAAAATCAGGATGATTGATCATATAGGTTCGATTTTCATCGTATTATGTAATAACGTATTACGATTAGCTGTTTGTATCCAGTTATTAACTTTTCTAAATATTATTCAAAGCAATAGCCTAAATAAATTTTGTTAAAGTATTATCCCAGTAAAACACGATGGTGTTACACGCATAGCATAAAATGACGCTGTCGAGAACACGTACAGAGTATAAACAACAATAGGGGAGCAATTATTAAGGTAAAACCTAATTTGATGGACTATTCAAGCATTAACCTCGGTGTAAGGCCGCCGTAGCTCGCGGCGAGGGTGGCAGTGACAAGCGTACGTGGGCAGTTTTAATTATTAAGCATTTCGATACCTAAGTACATGTATTGTTCAATTCCGCGTGCGAGCTACATATAAACGTGTAACTCAAACTAGTAATTGATTTATTGAATGCGTAGCAAAGTACGCGCTACTCCAAAATTGTATATCGTGTAGACAGATAAGATTAGAGTAGATACATTAAATAATATCAACAACCAAACAACAAATAACATAAAAAATGTAAATTTTGTGTGAGAGTAGTGATACTATATTGATAACGAGCTCGTTTAATAAATAATGTGAAGAGGATTCAAGTTGAGGTTGTGCTTCTCAAAGTTCACGTCTCGAAGCGTACTTCTGAGATATTCATAGGTTAATGAATCATTTTCAACATGACTACTACTCTCTTTACGGTAAGGAAAAAATATCGCGAGGCAACATGTATGTTTGAGAGAACTAGTTCTCAAAAGATTGTGAAGTCTGACGACCCGCACTTGAGTAGACTTAAATGCCTAACATAAAAAAAAGGTCCAGTGAGATAATAAAAAGAGGCGAGTTACTTTTTACTAGCAATTTACTAGCAAGTTTCTAGGTGCGTTTTAAATAGATAAAAATAGTTATTGTGAGTGTACCCTAGGAGATAGAATTATACAATTGCAGACTTTTCTGTTGGCCTACAAGACCTCAATTTTCTAGTGCATTGTTTTGATGTATATCATACCCCATGAAATACATAAAAAGTTAAAAAATGCATGTCTTGCAACGCTCTTTTTCTACCGCAAAAAGTGTAACTCAACAACTTTGTCATAAATTGTTACGTAATTAGTTAAATAACAACATTTTATAGTGACCGTACCAATATTAATTATCTTTATTTTGTACTAGCATTCCCCGCGGGTCCGCCCGCGTTCAGATGACCAAAAGGCAAATTCTTAGGTTTTACATATTAGTATACTCTTACATTGCAGTTTTTGTATTTTTTCTCAGAAATGAGATATTTTGCCGCTGTAAAAAGTATTCTATATGTTGACCCGGATAACCAGCTATCCCCAAACCAAATTTCATGAAAATTCCTCCAGTGGTTTTTCTGTGATGCGGTAACAGACAGACAGACAGACAAAAATTCTAAAAATTATAGATTCCGCCTCTGTATCGATAATAATGTTTATTTTGATAAGATTTTCCAAAAAATATTTAATGTACAGATTCGGCTTAGTCACAATTTTATTAATGTATAGTTAAATTATTTTGTCAAAAAAAAAACTATTTTCGTACGCTTACATGGCTAATGCTGGCTAAACATTAAAAGATACTTTAAAATTAAATCAATTAAAACCCATAAAAAAACTTTTCTGTACGCCTTAAAAAATCTACAACTATTTCGATCTCCTAAGATGCACTCACAATATTTTTTTATACATATAAAACATACCTAAGACGACTCGAGCGAAGCGAAAGTAAGTTGCAGTCCATAATAAACTAAATGTAGTCTTTTTTGAAGTCGGTTCATAAAAAATTTAACGAAGGTCTTTTTATTATTTGCATGTCCGAATAAGTACCTACTTACGTCCAATTTCACAAATTCATAATTATTTATTTTATTTTATAAATTATTTACTGTGTTCGTACATTCAAAGTAAGAAGATTTACCTTCTTTAACATTGATTTCTGTAATGATAGCTCGTTATACAGATGGAATAAATAGTAGAAAAGCTTACACATGTAGTCAGTACAAAGTTTCTCGTGTTACACGATCTAATCAAGCAGACAAGTTAATAACTAAAAGAGGTACTACCTGTTAGGGGGGAAATTATGAAATATTTACAAAAATAATATGGATATTATCCATATCAACGTTTGTCTTCAATGTAATGTAATCCAGGCTTAAGCAGTTTATTAATGGTTCAAATCAATTTTTTTGCTATTAACTAAAAAATATTGCTTCAAATAGAAAACAGACCGTATTTACTATACATACTAATATTATTAATGTGAAAGTATGTTTGTGTGTTTGTTTGTTTGTCCTTCTTTCACGTCGAAACGAGTGACGGATTAGTGTGATTTTTTATATGGAGATAGTTGGAGGACTGGAAAGTGACATAGGCTACTTTTTACCGCGGAAGATTATTTTATTCCCACGGGAAAACAAGTTATAATACCACTAAAAAAATATTTATGATCAGAATTATTTGAAACTTAGTATAAATGTTCTTCAATACAATTAAATGAATACGTGTTTTAGCATTTTTCGAAATTAACCCCATAAGGGGATAAAATAGGGGATGAAAGTTTGTATGTAGCCGCGGGTTCTGCTAGTTGCTTCATATATGTATTATGTACTTCATAGGTGAATGAATAGGTTTCAATGTTGTTTACTCTTAGACTACTGGTAGTACTAAATTTATATTAAGTAATAAAAAAATATGCTTAGAATCATCCTATCTGGCACGTATTCTCTTAATGTTTACTATATAGGCAGATAATTTGCACGAATTTGTTGTAAGACTTAACTAAAGATGTATACGAAGTAATATATTATTCAAACATATAAATATAGGTAATCCAACTAATATTATAAATTTTAAAATAGGTTTGTTTCTTTGTCCTTCTTTCACGTCGAAACAGAGTGATGGATTGGCGTGATTTTTTGTGTGGACATAGTCTATTATACTTTTTACCGCGGGAAAAAACGTTATAATAGAACCCAACTAAAAAATTACGTTATAAAACAACAACTCATCATATCTATGTATATATGTATATAAATAGTCTATGTATTCCGTAAGTACGTAGGGATGAACCCGAGTGAAGCGAGAGTGAGGCGCTAGTTTTATATAAATTACAGCTGAGTTTCTGATTAGATATTCTTGGCAGATCCATTTTTAAAGCAGTGGTAACTTTTTCATGAACAAGCAACACTAATATTTTAAATTGTACAATTTAGATATTACTTTTAGCCATTAATAAAAGAAGTTTCTGATACCTCCCACAGCCACAATCATTAGTACACAACACGACGTCATTACGCTCTGTACTCTATTTTCGCTTGCATCAATACGAGTCTTAGACTAAGCTTACTTTGAAAGATTCATAAAGCTACAGTTACGTTCATTTATACAGAAAATATGTTTAGGTTGTCCCTGTCGTTTGTAAATATTAGAATTGATAGCGAACCTAAGACGTATCCTATACTATAAATGAGCAATATTTGTATATACTACGAGTATATTTGTAACTACGTTCTCGAAAACGGCTCTGATAATTTCGACGAAATTTGAAATATAGGGGTTTATGGGAGCGAAAAATCTATCTAGCTAGGTCAGATCGAGAAAAATCATTTTCTCAGTATTTTCACGCAAAAAGATTTGCCCGCGCAATACGGTTCGTAATTTCACCGCCACCACCGACGTCTGAATAGCCTAATGGTTATCGTTGGCCTACTACGCCGAAGGTCAGAAGTGTTTGTTTTTATTCTTATTATATTACATGAGCAATTCTTGTATACATAGATTTATTTCGTAGCTCTAACGATCTGGATCAATTTTTTTTTATTTAGCTTAGGTTTTGCTTTTAAAGTTAATCGATATAGATGTATTTTCTGAAAAAAATGCAATTTTGTATCTTTTCCGAAAAACAAAAAAAAAAGGCGAACAAAGCTCGGTTGCCCAGATACTAAATAATTAAATACTAAATACTTACTTACGAAACTAAAGTAGGCATTACTAAAAAAGTTAATGAATATAGTGAAAAATTATAATGGTAGATAGACGCTTACCTATGACCGCAGAGTCCTCTGTCGGGCTGTAACAAGGCGGAGCCACACTGGCTTCGGTGGGGCTGCAGGGGGGCGGGCCATCGTGACGCTGGATGCCTTTCTTCACCATGTAGCAGCGCGGCATCGCGGCCCACGCTGTTTATACAAAATTAATTTACTAAATATTCAATATTAATATTAAAAACCTTCCTATAATGTCTAATTTATGTAAATAAAAACCAATTGCCGAATGATGTATGTAAGTGCATCACTTCAGAACGGCTGCATTTATTTGGCTAATTCTTTTTGTTGTGTTTTTAATTGTCAAGACGAGGTTTGAAAAATTGTACGGAAAAGTAAAAAACTTGGGTTAAAAAATCACCAAAAAAAGTGATTGAGTGAGTGAGACAGAAAACAGACGCGAGATCTTCAAAAATATTGACAACCTTGACAGATTGACGTTCAGTTATTCGGTTTCTTACATTGTTTTATTAGTTTCCTCCGAAATTAAGTGAAGTCTAGTACTATATGTGTAAGGAGACCCTAAAAAGAGGGGAAGTTGACAAAATGTCTGACTGTATGCTGTAAAAAGATGGTACAGGCGTACGAAAAATTATATATGTGCTACAAGAAGTTACGTAAAAAATTCTAGAATTTCATATTTTATAAATAGAAATTTAAGAATTGTATATGCTAAATGAAATTGTTAAATGTTCTCAAAATAAAATTATAAATCATATTGTTAGTCTATCTAAAAATTCCGTAAAAATATTGAAACTAAAATATTCTAGATAAAAAGGTTGAATCTCAATTATGACTAAAAGTGCGCTTGCACTCGACTCTTGAACGTAGCTGCAATATAATTATTATGAACGAGTTCTCAATTTGTCCACCTAATTTAGAGCGAGATGTAAAATAAAATTGAAGATAGCTACAATAAATTGCTAATACTACACTACAATTACTTTCTGTTGTCAATATTATTTTTACAGTTATTTTATTTCTTAATTTGTCACCATCACAATTCTGATAACATTAATGTTCGCCTTATCTAGATAATCTGAGTAACTTTTAAGTTCCAATAAGCTCTTTAGAACAAAAATTATTGCAAGTGAAATCAGAACACTGTTTAGCTGGCTCTCTCATTATGGCGCCATTGATTGGAAAAATGGCGGTTCGACTTTGTCAAAGCTGACATTGAGCGTGTCGAGAGGTATCCAAGCAAACTTTGATCAAAGCTACTTTGTTAAACTTTGAGCGTGTCAACGCGGCTTTAACAGCAGCAGACAAAATTTTGATTAAAATTACACTTAAATTTAGAAGAAAAACTTTTTCATTAAGCTCTTTATGTAAACTATTATAATTATTCAATTTAGTATAACAACATACAGACAATATGTACAATGTACATACTTATTATTATTATAAATCCTACAAAAACTTGCTTTAAAAGTATTTAAGCATAAAGTAAACTCGTAAGTAAATTTTCATACTATAATAATAAACCTTAAGTCCTTAAGAGCTGGCTTACCGCGCCTCAGAACAACCAATAACTTCGAACCAGCAACAAGTGCCCGATACAGACAGTGATGTTTGCTTCATAAAGGTCCTAAGTTTTAATTTACTACTTAGCTAGTTTGTAATTTTATTTGATCTTTTAGTGAAATTGAAGTACGCTATTTATCTCTATTAGTAGATATAGAATGAATTAAAAATCATAACTGAATATTAGTTTAAGTTTATTTTAAAATAGCGATTGAAAACAAATATATGTAAACATAATTTAGCCCACAGACACAATACGTTTCTAGATCTTCGTATAGCTTCAGTACTGCTGTCAACATGGACAATTTGTAACAATGTACATAGGCAAGTGACAAGTACAGTAGCAATGCTAATGGATCGTAACAGTAGGGAACATTCTAATTATTATTAAAAATACTAAGCAACAATTTTATGCTGTCGTAACTTCCGCGTATTAGTTATACATTTCATTTTTAATAGATCTAATTCGACTTTCAAAGGAACAGGTAGTTGTAATTAAATTGGAATATTCTAACATGGGTTACATATACGCGAAGCTTCTATTAAAAACAAAAAGGCCCCTGTCACGGACGACCCTTCCTACATCTGACTCGTTAAAGCGTTCATAATAAACAACATCAAGCTAGTACATCGACAACTACGAAGGCAGAAACATCAGTGAGAACTATATACATTATACTTCGATCAAAAATGTATTAGATCTACAATCAGTGACAAAAAATGTCCTCACCGAATAAGCGCTCACATTTGAGCGCGCTTTTCATTTTTTTGTGAAAACAATTTTAAGCATTGCATTTAAAATTCAATATACATTGTTGTATATTTATTTCAAGTGGAATAATTAAACTTAAATACAATTTGTGACAATTTGAGAACTTTTAAATGGGATTGTGTATCTAGTACTTTTTTGATCGATGACTATATACGACTTTTGTAAGTTATAGTTATCAGAACGCTTTATATCGTTACGTGTGAATAAAGTCATAGCTCGTAAATGATGTTCAAGAAGTTTAGAGAAGAGAAAACCAACAATTTTTTTAAATCATTTCTCAGTAGGGAAGGTTTGGTGAAAAACCATGTAGAAAGACAAAGGACGTAAGTAAGCTTTAACTAAAATTTAGAAGTCACAATGTTGTATATATACAGGGTTATTTTTAATTTACTGAAAACATTTTGGGGATATACTATTTACATCATAACAACAACATCTGTAAGAAAAAAAATGTTTCTTAAATTTTTATTTTCATACAAAAATAAAAATATTTTTATTGAACTTTCTAAGCGGTAATAGTCCAGCATTAGCAAAAGAAAGCGCGTCCACGGTGGAGTGGGAGGGGTGGAGGGGTGGAGGAGTGCAGAAAGCCGCGCTTACTCATTTAAACTTGACCAGATGCTAGGACTATTACCATTTAGAAGGTGCACTAAAAATGTTTTTACTTTTGTATGAAAATAAAAATTTAAGAAACATTTTTTATTCTTACAGATGTTGTTGTGATGATGTAAATAGTATATCCCCAAAATGTTTTCAGTAAATTAGAAATGACCCTGTATAAAATTACTTGTCCTGATTGATTCAGACCTTGACTGAGCTTAAACCACAAGGGTTAAAAACTTGAAATTTTGGCAGTTGATGCATTTTATGCGCATGTTTTTACATTTTATATGATGTAAACATCCACTAAGAAAGGACTTTTGGAAATTGCACCCCTAAAGAAGTAAAATAAGAGATAAAAATTTGTATGAAAGTCTATCATTTTTAATGTGAAATGAACGAAAAAGTAATATTCAGCTTTAAAAAAAAGAAAATACGTATATTGAGTTTTTTGAAATTCGTCCCTTAAAGGGGTAAATGGGGATAATAAAGTTTGTATGGGAAAAATATTGTTTATGATCAGAATTATAAATTAATTTCTTTACTTGTTATTTTATCACCTTTGTCCTTACTAGACAGGTTTACTATATGCATACAGTTGTAACAAAACGGGGGAGTAATAGCCTGCGTCAAGGGTAGACGAACGTCCACCTTCCATCGGTTTATATAGAGCGCCCTTAAACTGGATGGAAATGCTACCTATACTGTGAGTACTGTACTGTATTATAGGTAGACAGTTCATTGGAGCATATCCACAGTATTGATTTGAACAATTATCAAACTTCAATGTTAATAAACCTACAATACAATGTGAAATGAACAATGAAAATCAATTTTATTAACATATTTAAAAAAAATTATGTGTCAATTCATATCGTTTGACTAAACCGTGTAAAGATGCAGATCTTACCACTTATTACCTATTCTCGCTGTGCTCATACGTATGCATTACTAACACGAAAGTGAAAAAGTGATCCCAGTAGATATTGACCTATGTAAAGCATGCCAATAATCTCGTTACTCGCGTTGCCCCGTTGCTGCTTGAAAGACGAGAATGTGAACTAATCAACGAATGCACATTCGAAATATTAATATAATAATAGAAGACTTAAAGCGAGCGTATAGCTACAAGAGGATTAAGCACCACCGCCATTCCTCTGCTAAATGATATTTCCATTTTGGTTTAGTATCTATATGAAATTTTGCAATGCCCGTTAGATATTTCCTAGTAAAAATCATTCATAAATTTATTTACCTTTAGGTATGAAGTAAGTGAAATAACAACACATTGTGGGTAGGCACTGTCTGTAACAAGTATATAACGCTTTTGAGTCGTCTAAAACCTTAGAGTCTCGCAGATAGAATCTCAGAAGATAGCAGAATACGAATCATTTCAGCAAATCGACAGTTATCAGATATCGCTAAGCGGAACAATAAGAGTGACTGTTATAGATTTAAAAACAATAATTGATCGCATATTGTATTAGGTAGGCTAGATCACAAGTTGAAAATGGTGCAAATTAGAGATAAAGCTCTTAAAAATATGTGCGATTGCTCATTTTTCAGCATGTAAAAAATTGTAAAAGTTATAAACAAATGAAGATGAAAAAAAGAAATAATTCATAAATGATTAAGAAATTCCAATAAAAAAGTCCCGACTCGCGAAACTCTACCTCCATTCTTTATAATTTTAATTTAACGCTTAGGATCGCACATATTTTTAAGAGCTTTATCTCTAATTTTACCATTTTCAACTTGTGATCTAGACTAAAGGTCTCGTAATAAACTAGTACTGGATCTAAATTTCGTTTTAAAAAAAACAAGCTTGCAGATGTAGCAATTGAATTAGCAGCTACCGCTCCAACGACAAATTTTCGGTCGGTAAAAGCTTAGCTGGTACTCCTTTCCAAAAAGTAGATAAAGGATAAACACCAAATGATCATTATTATAAGCAACATTACCTAACTTATTATAAGAAAAAATATTCTATATTAAAGTTAAGTTTCCGCTTAAACAATATCATCTGAGTCAGATCGGATAATAAAAGGGATATATTGTATGTTTAACATTTCATGGAAGTGGAAAGGAACGCCGCATGAAGTGATTCTAAGTTGCATAAGCTTTGAAATTACAAAGTACACTGAGCTTTTATACGAATAATGCAAAGTTTACGTGAACATAGATGATCACATTGAGTTTTATAGTAAAGTTTCTAGAAAAGAAGTCTT